GGTGTGTGTGTTTTTTTTTTTTGAAGTAACCTTTCACATCAAGCATGTTAAGTATTTTGCAAGGTCAATGTCAGTAAAGACTCAATATAAATTCTGAAATTGGTTAAAAATGCTACTGCTACACTTGCCTGCCTTAAGCAAGACCATTTGATCTTCTATAGGTAATTCAGTAAAATGAGGGATATGCTTTGCCCACTCTACCAGCTGATGTAACTGACGATCTGCTGCTTTACAGATGTTGGCTATAGGCTCCTTCTGTGAAAAGTATATTACAATAAGTAACAGCTTTCTGAATCTGTTAAAAAATGTATCCCTACATTAAGATCATCAAACTACAAAAATCACAGGTGAACAGGTTTATAAAACAGCATAAAAGGCCATGTTGATTTCTTTTATAATGTCTCTACACACCACCTTAATCAATCTTACTGTATGACAATATATGAATAAAATTTATTAAAGATAAAGCATTTAAAACAAGGAAGGAAAATTACTATTTGCTGGAAAACTTTTAGACTTGCATTAAAGTATAGTTAACAATTAAAGTTGTACAGTCATAGAAATCTCTAATTTGGGTTTTATTTGACTTGAATACTACAAAAAATGTTCTTGAGGCTCAATAAAAACAGCTTTTAAAATTAAAAAAAAGGGCTTACCTACACCTGTAATTCACAATCATTATTTTTGCAGACTTAAACTTCATTTTAAATAAACAAGACACCAAGTGAAAACTGAGCATGACAATCACATCAGCATTTTTTCTGGATTATTTTAATTAAAACAATTAAGAAATAACTCACATTTATATCTATTTCTTCATTTTTAGGTTCTACACAAATTTCTGCCTCCAAGATATGTTCTATGGGCATGTCATGTGGAGAGTTACAAGTACTTTCCACTTCATTTTCATTTTTTTCTTTCGTCCTATGTCGTTCCTCTTGGACAGCTACAAGAAACAAGAAAATTTAAGCTTCATCTTAGAAAATAAAATATTTTTCAATGCTAGTTTTAATACAAAATAACTTTCTTTAAAAACATTTTCAGAAATGTTCAGATTTTTAAACATGCCCAAACAAGGATGTGACAAAAATTGCATAAATTTTTATTTCAAATTTTTTGTCTTTATTTATCAAATTTCAAGTAATTACATAGAAAACACTGATTGGTCAGTAAGAATAAACCTCATATCATTAAGTTCATGTTTGTATAGCAGTTTGTTAATAAGTGATGAGAAATGTTAATAATAAATACAATAGTGTTTGTTTTACATAAAATAGCAAGATTTTTTGAGCAAAACGAATCTAACATTTTCTTCAGGTTTCTTTTCTGACCCTTAAAAACCCTAATTAAAATGAGGTGGATCTGAATTCTGAAAGAAAACATATATAAAGTTTTAAATTGGTTGAATCTATTTGAAAATTCTAATATGTAAGCTAGCATATGTTGCTGAAATAAAGGTAGTACACTAGTAAATTATCTTGCAGTTATGTACAGTGCCTTGCAAAAGTCTTCACCCCCTGTGTTGGTAATAAATTGTAGGTATTTTCATGTGAGAGACACAACTCAAATGGCCAAAAATATTTATTATATTAACCTCAGACCAGTTTCTAAAGATTACAAAAAACAAAAGATGCATTATTACCCAATTTAGTGATATAACACAAAAAAATCTTGAAAATGCATGTTGCAAAAGTCTTCATCCCCTCTCAGCTTTTACCAGCTCTGTACAACTCTATCAGATACCAAAGTATATTATATAGCCATGTGAAAAAATACTTTAGATCATATAGCGCCATCAGTATTGATTTAAGCAGAGTATTTTGAAAGTTAAAATTTGGTTTACTGTTACATATTTAGAATGATGGGAGAAGATTGTTCAGAAGCACATTTCTGGAGAAGGCTATAAATCAGTTTCAAGGGTTCTCAATTTACCATTAAGTACTGTAAAATCAATTGTGAAGAAATGGAAAGTGTGTCACACTACCTCAACTTTTCCAAGATCAGGTCGCCCTAAGAAAGTCTGCACTCGAACAAGCAGAAAAATTGTCAGAGAAGCAACTGTCAAGCCGACAGTGACACTGAAGGAGCTGTAGACTTCAATAGCAGCAACTTTAGTTACTGTACGCACCTCGACAATATCACATACCTTAAACAAACAAAGCTTAAATGGTAGGGTGGCAAGAAAGAAACCACTACTGATGAAGATGCATCTTAGGTCGCGAACAGGCTATGCCTGTAAACATTTCAATAACCCTACAACAATGTGACAGAAAGTTCTATGGTCAGATGAGACCAAAATAGAACTTTTTTGGGTTAAATGAAAAAGGGTATGTAAGGCAGAAACCCAACACTGCTCACAACCCAGCAAATACAGTCCCAACTTTCAAGCATGGTAGTGGGTCCATAATGCTGTGGGGGTGTTTTTCTGCAGCTGGCACTGGAACATTTTTACACATTCAAGTAATCCTGGACAGTGCAAAACATACATAGATGTTGGAGGTAAACAAGAAGAAGTCAGCAGAAAAACTAAAACTCAGTCAAAGGTTTAAATTTCAACAGGACAATGATCCCAAAAATAGATCAAAAGCAACCCAAGAATGGTTTCAGAGAAACAAAATTAAAGTCCTTGACTGGCCAAGCCAAAGCCAAGACCTAAATCCACTCAAAAATCTGTGGAGACATTTGAAAATTGCTGTGCATCAAAGACATCCTTCCAACTTACAAAAACTGGAGGATAACTGCAAGCAGGAATGGGCAAAAATATCTCCAGCATACTGTGCAAAGCTTATGGAGGGCTATCCAAAATGACTTTCAACTGTCATTGCTGCCAAAAGAGCTTCAACCAAATATTAACTGCATAATCATGTTAGGGGGTGAAGACATTTTCAAGATGGTTTTGTGTTATGTCACTATAGTGAGTAACAATGCACCTTTTGTTCTTTGTAATCATTAGAAACTGGTCTGAGATTAATATAATAAATATTTTTGGCCATTTGAGTTATGTCTTCCACAAGAAAATAACTCAAATTTATTACCAGCACAGGGGGGGTGAAGACTTTTGCAAGACACTGTAAAATAATTAAACAAAAATATTTGCCGGGTAACCAATAGAAAATCTTCTGCAGTTGGAAATGTGTATGCGAGGTAAAAACAGAAAATGAGATACACCTCTTCTTCTTTTTTAATGTGTACCTTAAGACTTAAGATACTTAAGGCACTGTATTTCTATACTTATCAGTGAAAACAGTGTAAAAGAATTGGTAATTAATAATGGTTCACTAATTGAACAACAAAATAACTCTATATTTAAAATAAATTATATGAAATGAAATATTTACAGTACCAGGCTTAATATGAAGTTATAACAGGACTTTTAATAAAACAATGTACAACAAAATAGATGTAAAGTCCATCTAAATCATCTTTCTCTGATTAATGGCTCTGTTTGTTTTCTCATTTTTCCTACGTTTACTAAAATTTGATTTCGATTTCTGTATACTTACTTTTTGGTTTTATGTATTGACAACTCTACTAAATGTTATTACACTTTTTTGCTTCTTCATCGTCAGTTTGGAAGCATTTCATTTACAAATATAGCTTGGAGATTTCAGTAGAAGAAAATATTACACATACAAGATAATAACTTGAGAGTATCAGAATATATTACTGACACAGAAACAAATTTAGATATAAACTGATAACTGGCTTCCACAATTAAATATACATCAAACAAGTAAATTTTCTATCACTCATAAGTGCATATTAGTTAATGAAAACTTATCATAAAGTAGTGTAATACATGAAGGTTAATTAAGACATTGCTCATATTATCTGAAATCAAGTTACTGTTTAATCTATTTTTCCTTATCATTGGATTGCAATATGAATAAGTAAAATTTTCTGGTAAATAAAGAACTTCAAAACATCCAGTTGAAAAATGCTGGAATTCAAAAACTAATTCATGAAATCGAAAAGTTAGTTTTTATTTAAGAACTGGTTCCACAGTCCTTCTGTTACACATTAAAATCACTTGCATACATGAAAAAATTAACCTATCAGATGATTATATTCACATCTGTGGCTTTATAAAGTGTCATTTTGTATCAGAACTATTAGAATGAAATGCTTACATATTTCCTTTTACTTACCTTCTCTTTTCATGCCCATCATTAAACATTTCTGATAACGACAGTATTGACAACGATTTCTCTGACGTTTGTCGATAATACAATTTCTTTCTTCTCGACAGGCATACGTTAAGTCCTTACGAACTGTTCGCTTAAAAAAGCCCTTGCAGCCTTCACAGCTACAATATAAGAAAGGAAGATACATTATGTTATAAAATTTAGTTGTATTCACTTAAAATCATTTTCATGTCAAGCTTACACATTAAGAGCTTGCAGTTTCTGATGGCTTGTACCCTTATAAACATCAAATCCTGAAGAATAAAATAAAAACTCTATAGCTGAAGCTTGACCCTGTTATTTAGTAGTAACACCATAAAACTTTACTAATTTATTACAAAATTTATCAGTATATAATAAAAAGAAAGTAATAAACCTAAGTAAAAGGGATTTTTCTTGTTTTTATAAATTGAGAGAAATACTAAACCTTGAATGAAAGATTTCCAAGTTTTCCAAATATAATAAACATGAGGGTGAAAAAAAAACTTGTCAGTTTCACCAAGTACACAGCAATATTAAACCACAGGGAAAGAAGCTTGTCAGTTTCACCAAGTACACAGC